CACTTGGCTTTGAAGCAAAAATCATGTCGATGTCCTCTTTAACACCTTTCAATTTTGCATACATTTTCTCATTAAGATTGTGTTGCAGTAAACAAAAAAGATGTTAATCTGTTGTTGCCATATCTGTAGAATATGGTGGGTGGGGGAGAACTTCCCACCAACTCCATAATCTTGTGTTACATCAAACTTACTCTTTTGATGTTCCACCAAATGCAAAGCATCACTTTCTGCGGATGGAGCCCAGGTTTTGGGGTCAGAGAGGTTTTTGTCTAGGACTGAGCCATTGTTTTTGGTGTTTAATATTTGAGTATAGAATCCATTTTTCATCAGTGTTTAATATTTGCATATAGAATCCATTTTTCATCACCGGTGACAATTCTGTCCAAAAATGGTTCACGCACATTATGCGTCAGAAGAGACAAAGCAACGTTTACACGTTGGAAATGATGATTATCGGAGAGTTTGTGAAGCACCCAAACACCTTCTTTATGGAGTTTTCCCAATTCCTTACATGTTTACGTATTGTTTGTGAGAGACATGCAATTTCAGGGCCATTTCACGAGTGTTTTGCCTTGGGTTAGACTCAATAAGCGTCTTCAGAGCATCAATATCAATTCCAACATGTTGGCCCCTGCAATTACAGTTTTTAAGGCTAAAGTCACCTGAACAAAATGTGTTGAACCATTGTTGACACTTACAAACATTCAAAACATTTCCATAAACTTTTTTGATATTCACAATGGCTACAGGGACATTGTTTCCCTTCTTGTATTCAAACAGCATTACATACCAAATGTGTATGTCTTCGTGTGCCATCACCATGAAGGATTAGAGTATACTAAACTTTACACATTATATAGGCTACACTAACATGTACATTTTTTGGGGGGTGGTTAATGAAAGTGTTCCAAAATGTGACATTAATTTCTTGACGACCTAATACTTAGATTGACCTAGACATTTTAAAGTTCTTGGCAGGTTTTAGAAACATCTAAGTTTGAGGTAAGTGACCATAGATTGTATGCTTTTATTAGGTTTTCATGAAGTTTTTCAATTTTATTATTACCTTTTTGGATAAAACATCTTTTTTTCTGTCTTTCTCCCAAACATGTTACCATTAATCTTAACTAATGATGGTACTTGAAATTAATTTTCAGGTTTAAACTTTGTGATAAAATTTTTGTCAAAACCTTAATCTTATTGGTTTTGAGTGTGTCATCTTATTTTGGCATTTAAACTGTAGTATTTAGGCTATATGACATAATTAGAAAAATATTTTCTAGTACATATGAATATTGATGGATTTGTGAAATCTTCCACTTACCACTTGAATAAGAACTTCATGGAACCGGTAAATCAGCTATACTTCAGTTTCTGCTGGGAAGTTATGGGTCAAGGTTTTGGTGGTAAGATTATGTTAGTGAGGCTTTGGATTCCTAATGCTTAGAATTACTTACTCTGCTACCCCAGATAACTGGTCTAATATATATAAAAGTCTGTATCTATCTTTTGGCAGCACATTAAAAATTTGTTAAGAAATTAAAAGTCTCAAGTTATAAAGAATGACATTAAAATATTTGGTGTGCCAATAAAGTAATAAGCCATTAAATTCCTACCTACAAAAAAGTAATCAGAGGATGACAATATTTTGATAAATAAATTTCAAGGTAAGAAAAAAAAAGATTTTTATATTCATTGTAACTTAGGACTTTTTCTAAATGTTATTTATTAGAGTGCAACAACGGCATGCTAGCAAAACTTATCCAATTGCAGGAACAATATTTATATAAAGAAGTAAAGTAGAATCATTTTAAATTTGAAGTAGAAGATTTACTTAGACAAAGCTGTCTTTTATGTTTAAGTTAATGATTGAAATTAAAATTGACATTTTAAGATGGAGACAGCAGAAGAACGAAGACGTCGTCAAAACCGAGAAAGACAACAAAGATTTAGAGCTCATCAAAGCACAGAAAATGTAGCCAAAAGAAGGAGATTAGAACGGGAACGTATTTTAAGAAAAATAAAAAATGAGACTTGGGAGCAGACTGAAGAAAGACGACGGTTAGATGCAGAAAGTCATGCAAGATGCAGAGCATATAGAAGAAACATACAAAGACAAATTACTACAATTGATAACACATTTGATGAATCAGTAATAGAACAACAGAGTTGTAGTACAATGAACGTTGTTTGCAAGACTTAATTCATTAAATTTTAAAACTGAAAGACATTCAGATGGAAAATTCATAAACTGCTGTTACAAGGGAAAAGTAACAATGTCTCCAAGATGAGAGTTCCTAATGTACTTGAATGATGCGATGAGTAACCCAAACAGTAGTCCTCTCTGTCAGAATTTCATTGTTTTCCTTTTATGATGAAGGGGGGAAGTTTGGTCGACAAAGCTTGGTGAAGGAAGGGCTGGGGCCCCTGGGTTCTTTTACAAAACTCCAACCCGTCATCTTTTGACAGGTCAGGCAAAGCTAGTTGCAAATAAAGTTGGATACAGAAGCCTATCCATAATAGGATTAAAATGGAACTGAGTTAACTATAAGCTCAATCTATGAATTAATGTAGAACTGACTTCACTATAAGCTCAAGCTATAAATTAAAGTAGAACTGAGTTAACTATAAGCTCAAGCTATAAATTAAAGTAGAACTGAGTTAACTATAAGTTCAAGCTATAAATTAAAGTAGAACTGAGTTCACTATAAGCTCAATCTATAAATTAAAGTAGAACTGAGTTCACTATAAGCTCAAGCTATAAATTAAAGTAGAACTGAGTTCACTATAAACTCAAGCTATGAATTAAAGTAGAGCTGAGTTAACTATAAGCTCATTCTATAAATTAAAGTAGAACTGAGTTAACTATAAGCTCAAGCTATAAATTAAAGTAGAACTGAGTTAACTATGAGTTCAAGCTATAAATTAAAGTAGAACTGAGTTAACTATAAGCTCAAGCTATAAATTAAAGTAGAACTGAGTTCACTATAAGCTCAATCTATAGATTCAAGTATAACTTAGTTCATTAAACTCAAGCTATAAATTAAAGTAGAACTAAGTTCACCATAAGCTAAATCTATAAATTAATGTAGAACTGGGTTCACCATAAGCTCAATCTATAAATTAAAGTAGAACTGAGTTAACTATAAGCTCAAGCTATAAATTAATGTAGAACTGAGTTCACCTATAAGCTCAAGCTATAAATTAAAGTAGAACTGAGTTCACTATAAGCTCAAGCTATAAATTAAAGTAGAACTGATTTCACTATAAGCTCAATCTATGAATTAATGTAGAACTGAGTTCACTATAAGCTCAATCTATGAATTAATGTAGAACTGAGTTCACCATAAGCTCAATCTATGAATTAATGTAGAACTGAGTTCACCATAAGTTCAAGCTATAAATTAAAGTAGAACTGAGTTCAATATAAGCTCAAGCTATAAATTAATGTAGAACTGGGTTCACCATAAGCTCAGTCTATAAATTAAAGTAAAACTGAGTTTACTATAAGCTCAAACTATAAATTAAAGTAGAACTGAGTTAACCATAAGTTCAAGCTATAAATTAAAGTAGAACTGAGTTCAATATAAGCTCAAGCTATAAATTAATGTAGAACTGGGTTCACCATAAGCTCAGTCTATAAATTAAAGTAAAACTGAGTTTACTATAAGCTCAAACTATAAATTAAAGTAGAACTGAGTTCACTATAAGCTCAAGCTATAAATTAAAGTAGAACTGAGTTAACTATAATCTCAATCTATGAATTAAAGTAGAACTGAGTTCACTATAAGCTCAATCTATGAATTAATGTAGAACTGAGTTCACCATAAGCTCACGCTATAAATTAATGAAGAACTGAGTTAACTATAAGCTCAATCTATAAATTAAAGTCGAACTAAGTTTACCATAAATTCAATCTATGAATTAATGTAGAACTGAGTTCACCATAAGCTCAAGCTATAAAATTCTGTTTTTTGCTGAAATGTTTTTTTTTATCTAACTGACAGCTTAGAATTTGTCTCAAAAAGTGTAACATGATAAGATATCTAGTTAGGTTTCGTAAGGTAGGAATTTTAATGTAGAAAAGGTTTTGAAATTTCTTTCACAATTTGTATTAACATTTCTAAGTTTAATCATCACTATATTCACCATTTTTCAGTAACATTACAAAAAATTAGAGAAATGTGTTGGTGCCGAAGTGTGAATGGATATTTTGATCTTCTAGGTTGCATCAACTGTAAAACCATCATCGGTTCAAACGACAAGGCTAGGTAATTGTGCTTCGAACGTACTTGTTGATACATCAACTGGAGTAGTGATGGGGACTTTGCCAAAAGATACTACCATATTGCAGTCCACAGTGGGACAGAGTACAACTACAGGTAACAGGTGTTTCTTCGGAAGAACAGCGTACAAACTACACTGTATGAAATCAAAACTATGAAGTTATCTATAATAATAGAATTTGAAATGTATGTGTTTTGTGTATAGAACTATATCACTTTCAGTATTGACTGGGACTTAGTTTTATAGAGGCCTTTGATAAGTAGCAAAAATATTTGATAGCTTACAAAGGAAAAAAATCATACATTAAAACAATTTGAAGTTGTATTAACTTGCATAAGAAACAGATATGTTACAATATCTCGTGTGGTCCTAAATATTCCTGATTGTTTAAATATAACCCTAGAAAGTTGTAAGATTAAAAATGTGTTTTTAGTCATCTTGGGATATCAATGTGATGGTAATGTTGACTTTCACTTGGTGTAAGAACTGGTGGATTAATAAAATTTCAGGAATCCACCAAATTTGAAGACATCATCAGCATTTATGTCTCTTGACAGATAACAAGTATGGGGTTATCTGGTAAGAAGGGTGTATGGTTTTGATGTAACAATTATATTTTAATAATCTTGTTTATTACATAATAAGCACTTTATTTTGAAATATCTGTATTGCTTTTATATAAATTCATGTTGAACTGAATGTTTGCCCTAAAGTTTTTTTAAACATACCTTAATATTTTTTTTTCTGACTGGAGATTAAGATTCTATAAATTCATCTTCTTGCTGGTACTTGTGTGACTAGTGAAAATCCAATCTTTTTGAATCAAGATAAAACTCTCATAACTTGGTACAAAATAATACAGCAGTTAGATCTAGACACCTATTAAAAGTTTCAATTCTGTGAGTGTGTGTTTCTGGAGTGGATGTCTATTTGGTAGAATGCCATTTTGTTAAATAACCAAATATGAACAAAAAGACAACTTTACCATTAGTACTTATTGGGTCTCCATTCTGCATAATAAGGGAGAAGCAGTGTTACTTCTTATAATCTGGGTCTGTGAGATTGTGGTGATCAGATAACAATTGTTGTCATGGTCACCTAAATTTAATAATTATGTAGTTACTACTTTTTTGTTATTCATTACTAATTAGTTCTTATACTATGTTTTGGCTGTTAATCTGTTGCTGTCTTGAGGGAAATCCTGAAAAGCACTATTTCTGTGTTGCTAGTGGCTGAGATTCAATATTGGGTATTCTTGATAGAGAGACTTATGTGCTATCCACTTGTATACTTACACACATAAACAGTTTCTTTCTGTAACTTAAAATTTTTATGTCCTCAGTAGTTTATAGATATTATTCAGACAGAGGAAACTTGTTATTTTTACTGTTGGATATAAATACCTGTACCAGCTAACCGTAATTTACTTTAGCTGAAATATTAGCAAGTATTTTGTTCAGCTATATTTGTTTATTATTAGACTTAAAATAAGACCCAAAACACAAGTGTTTTTGATTGTTTGACTATTCTCTTTAGGAGAACAAAGTCCACATGTCCACCTAAATCTGTGTACAGCAGGTTTCATTCAATGCTTGGGTAGAATCTTACTATTGATTTTACTTAGCTTATTAGAGCTGGTGTTTGTTCAGTTTGGTAGAATCTTATTATTGAGTTTACTTAACTTATGAGAGCTTATACTTAAAAATACATAAAAAAATCCTTACTTTTAACTTAGCCATGTGTGTTTCCCAAGCTATTTACATATCATGAATTAAATTCTAAAATATTGACCTTCCACTCATTTGTATAAATAAATATATATATTTGTATGTATATATATATATATAATGAAATTAATAGCATCAGTGCTATTAATTATATTAATAGGCAATTACAGTCATTGCTATAAAACAATAATGAACTTATTATAAAATTTAAGGTAAAAACTAGGACTGACAATGGATTCTTTACTATAGTCTTCTTAATCCTTATGACTTTAAGGTAAAAACTAGGACTGACAATGGATTCTTTACTATAGTCTTCTTAATCCTTAGTCATGCACACTTATACACACAAACAAAGATAAAATTATATATTTTAAATAATTTCCCCATTTCTATTTACAGATATTCAAGAGAATTTAGTGACTGTCAAAGTAAGTTCTGGTTTGTTAATTTCAAGTTTCTTGTACTTTTTGGTAAAAGAAAATCTACATTTATCAAAAATTGTTTACTGTTATGATTATAATACAAATAATTATTATAGCTTTTAGTTTTGTCTGTGTTTATTGTGATGGTTTTTACCAGATTAAGTCATTATTTTAATTGTTATATGTATACTGTAGTTGTTTTATAAGGTAGTGGAGTCACTAGAGTTTTCAGTTTTTATTTGTATGTATAGTGTGGTGACTATTAAACCTATTGGCCCAGGTATCATTTACTGTGTATATCATGAGGTTTTAGTGGTTTACATTCAAAATGTTATTAAACTATTTTTTGTTTATGTAATACCATTTAGAGAAAATAATAGATAAAATATAAAGTTTCACTGAAAACAAACATTTGAAATGTATTTTTAATCTTAACATGAAAATCACTTTGCACACAGACTATTCAAAACAAATACTTGATGTATTCATAATATATAATTAATCAATATATTTTAGTTTATTAAAAATACTTCACCAAAAATATGATTTTTTGTATGTTTTTATAATGTTTACTTGAAAGACTGCCACATTTCATGAAGATTTACACACTATATTAAAAGTTAATAGTACCAAAGCTATAAAGACTTTGAACGAGTACAAAGAGGTCATGTGGTTGGTCAAATTGACTGAGCCCATATTGAGAGAGTTAAGAGAATGAGTCACTGGTTTTTAGCTTTTTTCTGTATGTTTACTGTGATGATTTTACAAGACAATTACTAGAGTTGCAACAGGTGGTCTTCCTGAACACCTCAGTTTCTATATGATTAACATTCACAACTTCAGTTTCTGAAGAAAATTAGATTACATCATAAACAACAAATCACACCCTTTCTCTAAGATCACAAAGCAGTGAGATTTATTTACTCTTCTAATTTTATTTCAACTTCAATATATATAGGAAACAATAATGGTACTTAAATCAATATTTCACACATATCATATTTAATACTGTAAGTGTAGTAAATGTATTACTGAAAAAAATATGATATGTTAATGAATTAAGTGCACATCTAATGACCAGCAGGTTTGGTAGTTACAGGTATTGTTAATGACCTGATAGGATCAATGGGTTTGATGGTTACAGGTATAGTCAATGACCTGATAAGTTCAGCAGGTTTGGTAGTTACAGATATAGTTAATGACCTAATAGGCTCAGCAAGTTTGGTAGTTACAGGTATAGTCAATGACCTGATAGGTTCAGCAGGTTTGGTAGTTACAGGTATAGTCAATGACCTGATAGGATCAATGGGTTTGATGGTTACAGGTATATTCAATG